TTGCAAATGACAGAGCAAATAACTGTTCTCTCCTGCAACACTTGCTTTGAATTAGGTGCGTATCTTGAACCATGTGACTTGGAAGAAGATCACAGAGTTTGAGCATCCAGCAATCGTTACTAATCCAAAGACTGTAAGTACAGGTCCAAAGTCCACTGAATTGTTAGCAACGCTTTGTTAGTGCTGCTATTTGAAAGATGCTAATAAATCCATTTCCTTTTGGAAACTCTTCTTTATTTTTCTGCTAATCTGCAGATAGTGCTTGAGGAGATGCATGAAAATTTGTGAATACAAGAAAAATAGAGAAATCTTTTCAAGTTCAGAGCAGTGTGCACGTTCAATCGTGCTGCCCTATTTAACTTTGAGGAATGAGGCATATTCTGCTGTACTCTTGACGGACTTTAATTTATCACAGAAGTGTGGGGTTTTTTTATTTCTGATCATGGTTTCAAACTACAAATGATTCCCTGAAAATGCCAGATTTAGTATTCACCTGTTGAACCCCTTTCCCTTTTTGAAATGGGGGATGCCGAATTCTAATATACTTGAAAATGAATTAGTGGGATGGGGATGACCTGATAATCTCCCATTCTATTAAGCCCTTTGGCAGAGCTCTTGCTTGTTTCTTTGTAGATTGTGTATAAAGAAGTGGAGAAATCCCCATCCGTTGAAACAGAGAGACTTTCTTTCCCTCCAAGAGCATTGACTAGTTCTCTCTTCAGCACACCGAGTAAATGTAAGCCAAGGTTTACTAAAATGAGACACTTGAGTCCACTTAAGAGTGGAGGGTATCTGTAAATTAGCATTACAGGCCAGCTCTGTCTTTTAATATTGGAATAGATCCTCTGGATGCTCTGCTCAAGTCTTCTGAAATATTTCCAAGGGCAGTAAGGGCCCTAATAGATAGGGTGTTGTTTTTAGGGTGTTTTGGAGGTAGATTAAAAAGTAGGGAGATACTGTAGAAGAGAACTGTCATTGCTTGGATAGAGGAGAAATAGCGTGTTGGGGTTTCTTGCAAAATTGCTTTAATATTGTGTGATTTTTTTTCTCCTCGTTTGCCCAATTTGACAATATTTTCATGCCTTAAAGGTATTTTTGACTATTGCTGATAATTGTAGTACATCTTACTTTAGCAGTTGGTAAAGTAGGAGGTTGAATGAGAAAGCAGAGCAAGAAGAAAGGAATCTGTCAAAGTGATTTGTCTGAAAGGCCGTATTCCTAGCAGTGCTTCAAACTCATTTCAGACAATAGACTCATAGTGAAGAGGGCATAGAAAATGTATGATTAATACGTGTAATATGGTGAAAATCTGACTACTTTTTATAGTTTAATCTCACTTGCCTGGATTTTCAGGCTCCTTTTATGTGTAAGCTGACTATATAAAGATGCAAAGCCTTAAAGCAATTGAGGTTTTCTTTGTCATCTTTTGCAAAAGAGTAAAATTTCTGCCCTATCATTTCAGAGATACAACTTTTAACGTGTAAACATTTTGTCCATCCAGGCCTCCTTGCTAAAGTACTTTTATTTCAAATTACAGATGATATTTCTGAGGTGCCAGTTTCTTTACAGTGTGTCAAACCAGTTGCGGACAAGGCAAATCCCAAAATCGGGATCGGAATGCTGGCATTCAGTCCAGATAACTGCTTCTTGGCAACCAAAAATGGTAAGTTCCTAATGCACCCTTATTAAAGGAGAAATCTATTTGTTATGTAAATGATATTATTTTCATACAATAAACAAGGACAATTAAGTTATTTTGCGCTATGGGAAGACTCATCGCCCTATTCAATGTTGACTCATTATTTTGTGAACACTTTTTAGCTCCAGAGGAATTCTGCCTTTGTCCTCTAGCATCATAATACATTACGCGCCGTGACCTGCTTATTGTTGTTAACATGTTGCCATGTTAACTCATAGTCTTGGCTTTCTGTTTAATGTTTGCTTTAATTTCCTCAGTACTGGTGCATATTTATGTATAGATAAATATGAAATACCACTCTATTCCTTTACAGCAGCTATCTCCTTAAAAGGCAATTCCTCAAAGCATGTAGTAGTGGGGTTTTAATTAGCAGAAATAATAAAGCTATAGAATTAACATTTAATTTTGCCTCTTGATAGAGCTGAAGGCTGTTCACTTCAGGATGCAAAACTTGTGGTTCAAAGATTAAAAACCTACAAACAGCATCATAATTGTGAATAGTCCTAGAAAAGTGAAGGACTGGAGGATGGCTCTGTTTCCTTTCTGCAGTTTCCACAAAACAAAATTTAAGATGTTTCAGCAGAAACTGCAGTGATATCGAGCCTCTCTTGTACCTCATTGGTTTGTGTATTGCTAGACCTTGTTTAATGACTATTTCTTAAAATATGCATGTTTGCTTTTCCTTTGACATTTCTGTGGCTGTTCTTTCCTCTTCTGATAGATAATATTCCTAATGCTGTCTGGATCTGGGACATTCAAAAGCTGAAGCTGTCTGTAGTCTTGGAGCAGTTGGGTGCCATTCAGTCTTTCCAGTGGGACCCGCGACAGCCTCGCCTTGCTGTGTGTACAGGAAACAGCAAAGTCTACCTCTGGTCGCCCGCTGGCTGCGTGTCAGTGCAGGTTCCAATGGAAGGTAAGGCTGCCTGCAACCACCTCCCCAAATCAGCTTGGGCTTTCTATTCACAGAATATTTTCCTTGCTTATAGATTGGCCAAAATGTTGCTGTATAAAGGTTCAGAAGTGGCCTTGGAGCTTCATAAAAACAAGTATTTCTGTCTGTAGAAAAGGCATTCACAGCGATACATAGTAAACATGGGAAAACATATCAAGAACAGAGAACATAGGTTAAAAGAGTTTATTGTTCCCTTAATCACATGATATGCTGAAGTATTTTTCAAAACTTGTTTATTTATATAGAAACAATAGCTGTCTGGGATGGCGGGTGTTGGAATAAAGCCTATTAAATGCCCAGAAGGATTTGGGGTATTCTGAAAACAAACTGTAACAAAGCAGCAGTCAGGGAGGTGGGAGGAGGAATGAACATGTTCAGTCTAATGTGTAAAGATAGGCCTAAGAACATATGGGGTCTGGACTGTGACTCATGCGTGAAGGAAAGTTTTGTGTCTTGCAGTGAGTCATTTAGGACATCAGCTAGACCACAAAAACATTTTTTTTCATTTCTGGCAGAAAAGAAATGGGTTTCAAGTTTCTTTTCCTTTACAGCTAGCACCCAGATTGTYAGGTTATACAACTCAGCACCACTGGCCAGTCCTGTCACATTTGTTTGCTCTACAATGACGTGGCCACAAGCTCCATTGTGATTGTATATGGAGCACAAAACGACCATAGAGTTTTACTACATGAAAGGGGAAAGGAGTGAGCGCTGCAGCTGCCCATGTGCACTGAAATAGTGGAGAGCAGATTGGATCTAGTACAGGAGGACAAAAATCAACCTCCCCAGGAGGCAGAGCAAGCACATTTTCCAATCTGTGTGACTTACCTAAGCAAAGATAGCCAGCCATYCTACTCCAGCTGTCACCTTCTTGCTGACAAACTGTTCTGTTCCTACAGGTGACTTTCAGATCCTTTCTGTTTGCTGGCATTCTAGTGGAGATTCCCTGGCACTTCTCAGTAAGGATAACTTTTGTGTATGTTACTTAGAAAGAGAAGAGGCAAAATAATCAATTTTTGAAATGTTGGTAAGTTTGAGGGAAAGTGACAAAAGGTCAAGCCCTACTGTCCAGTCTGAAGCTGCTTGGTACTAATTATTTATTTGAAGGAACATAAACTCTGCTGTGTGAACTACTGTCATTGTGTTTGAATGAAGTGATGTTACAACCTAACACAGAGAACAAAGCCTGGATTTTAAGGAAACTTCAGTATTAATGTAGTTCAACTTTCTCTTCAACTTTCTCTACTATGAAACTTATTTTCCAAAATTTTAGCTGTGTATATAATGTATAGACATTATTTAAATTTGATAATTTCCAATAAATATTTTGATAATTATTTACGTTGCATGACTCTGCATTAAGCCTGCATATAAGCCTGCATTTCTCCATTCTAGTTCTGACAGAGAACTGAAGTCTGTTTCACTATCCATCCTGCATACTCATGTCAGTAACATGATTGCTTAGCTATTACGTATCCTGAAATAAAGAAACATATTTTTATGTAGCAGCATACTGTACATATCTACCCCAGCAGGACAATAGATGTTTCTCTCTACCAGAACTAGATCTTGTAGCAGAAGATACATCAAAACACTTTTTCTAGTGAATTCATTACTGCTAAAATGGGTCCTTTGTTCAAGCAGCAAATGAAGTCATTTATAATAACCACTCTTCTTTTCTAGACAAAGATGTTAGTCACTAATAGTTGCAATAAATCTAAAGTAGTCCCGACATTACACTGAATCTATTCAAGGGGGATAGCTGCTTTTTGCATAGAAGCAGCAGCTACTCTTATCTGCTGTCCTTATCTGCTGCTTTAGCATTGGCATGTTGTACAATAAGGAACTGAAGTGGAAGCTTTTAACCCCATTGTGTTTAAGAGAGCAAACAAGTGCATAGTGTCAAATTGGAGTGGACAGTTCAGTAAGGAACAAATGGCTGGACCRTGTCTTATGCCTCTTGTGAATAGCCAGCCACTGAGTTCCTTCAAGGAAGACCCGGTAGTTGGCAACTTATTGCATGCTTTTTTTCCTTTGCTACTTGAGATCTTCAGTCTCCACAAAATGAAGAATAAAGACCAGTATTTAAGTTGGAATTTAATGTTACTATGAGATTAACAGAGGTTAAATAGTTAACTACCTTAGCAAATGCACTGGGGGGCAGACAGTTTGTATTTGTTCAGTCATTAGTTGTACTTCACGTAAGTTTCAGAAACMTCGCTTTTATTTAAGTTCAGGAAAAAAAGTACCACTGCTACACAGAAGAACTTTATTCAGCATTATAGTAGCAGAGAAATGTGGTGGTGGAATGACATGTAGAAGATRCACACAATGGAAAAATCATGTTACAATAACCTCGTGAGTAATTGTGGTTGTAGCATCTCTGTTGCATCTGAAACTGATTCCAATCTCAAGGTCTGGGTAAGGGTAAGTGCAAGATTATGCAAATCAAGATTGATATATAAGGCTTTATCTGTCCTCTTTAGGAAGGTCCTATTCTGCTGCTGTCCCAAACTAGAGTAGATTTAAGAAAATTTGCTAAGAATATAAATCTAAACAAAATAGAGTTCTTTACGTTTATTAAAAAAATCTAGCATAAATATCTCTGAAGGCAAATGTTTGTGAGGTTTTTGGCTATATTGTTTTAAGATGTGTCGTTATTATGTCTGCAACAAGAAACTGTGAGAAACTTGCAAATTATATTCAATTTTGAGAAGAGAAGCCTATTACGAAAAGATAATGAACTTATGTAGCCATTTACTTCAGTTTACAAAGTAATAGTTCAGGTMGGCTGTTTTTGAGATGTGTAACAGTGTGACTTTAACCAAATTTGCCAACTCTGTTTCATTGAAGAATGACTGACAGCTTTAAAAATTCTTGTTATGGAATCAAAATGTTAGGATTACTGTAATATTGAGCCACTAATACCCCCTTGAATAAYACAAAACACTCCCAAACATGCCACATAAACTGAGCTTCTTTACAAGATGCTATTGTAATATGGCATGAGCATGCTACTGGATCTTGAATATTTGTGTGGAGCACGTGTAGCAGATACCAGCCACGCTTAGTTAACAGGGAAGAGCAGAGAGCTAGAAGTGGAAGAGGACACTGTTCACTAGCCTTGCATATGAACCAGTGAGAACTGCAAATTAGATGCAGAATGCAAGAACAGTGCTGCCTTGTGTCCACTTCAGATTAATCTGACATGCACTCTAGCAATCTTCATAAGTATACGATTATTATGAGAAGTGATAGGTCTGCAATCAACTGATTTTTTTTTTCCCATATCTTCATCTTGATTATTGAGTATTCTGCCACACTGTGCTCTCCCTCCAGGACAGGGCTTTACTTTGAAAACATTAAATGCAACAAATCTTAAAATCCAATTTTGCCTCTTGTCATGGAGTAGCCAAGTTTTGCTTCGTTGTTGATGAAGGACATCAATCCCAGGTAAGTCTCAATCAGAAGCGGCCGCTCCAGCACTAGAACTCCATTAGCTCTTCCTGGCAATGGTGACTCCTTATGAGCCTTCTTCACAGCTTGAATTAGTTGAGTTTTGAAGTTTTCCAGCTGAAAAAAAAATCAYTGTGATGTTATTTTTCTTTTTTTTTTAATCAGGAAAAACTTCATTGGAGCATTAGGAAAACATCTGTGCTGCCCTGCAARGTCAAAATGGGTCAGACAGGGACACTTAGCTTGCAATTCTAAGTTATGTCTTTGATTTAATTGCTTGCATTTGATTACTGTGAGAAGCTACAGCAGAAAGCATTATCCAACCTCAGCAGCTGTTAACAAGCCACCTAGAATAGAGCAGGGGGGTTCCTTACTAGGCAGAGGGACGCAATCTTCTCATCAGCATCTGCCATTGGATGTTCGGTGAACGTGGCGTATGGAACGTTTGTGGACCACGGATTCCAGCGATTCAGGAAGGAGGCACGACTTTCCTTGTCCCATTGAATTCGAATGCCAATGCCTTCTCGCCTGGCAGTGGAGACAGCAGAAGGGGTATGGTAAGACCATTAAGTCTTYGCAGCAAGTTTAATTAAACATACATTGTCTGAACACTACTTAAAAACTGCAAGTTACATTTAGTTTGGTAATAAGTGTTCATCTAGGAAAGTGTTAAGAGTAATTCAACATCTGGAAAGCCTGTTACTGAATTTCAGCCCCTGAAGTATGTGAWGATATTTTCTTACAAGCAGAGTGCAAAAAGGTTAAGCTGCTTAGACATCAGGACGCAGAGCCCCAACAGTGCTGCCTCTGTAATACCCTCTGCTTAAGGATGCCTGTATTTACACACAGCCTTCGAATAAGGTCGGGGTACTGCTGCCACCYACCGCGTTGCACGAGGGTGCGGAACGGCTGAAAGGCCCTGAGCTCCTCCTGGAAGGAAGCCCTGCAGGGACTCGCTTCCCATGTACCCGGTGTGTGTCCCAGCACGACAGGACTTTTCCAATGAAGTTTCAGTAATCGTTCAAAAGTCAACTAGCAACCACTGCCATGAGGAAGAGGTCTCAAACTTGATTAATGGCTAGGCCTGAAGGCTGATGGGTCAGACTAGTTACAGTGACAGTACAATTCTGACAACTTACTTATTCAGAGATTTAGGTGGGAATTCAAACTCCCCTACAGAGATGGTGTCAACTGCATTGAGTGATATTCTTGTCACRTGCTGGCACTGCAGGCTAATGAAGTCATATTTACAGATCAAGAGGGACCAATCTGTGATGAGAACCAGGCGCTCCTTCTCGTTGTTCCAATGGTCGATTCTGGAAGATAACAAGGCTGTGAGCTTGAGCAGTTTTCTCTGTCTAGGACTGTTTGTTACAAAAAATAGTCATCATTTATGTTTTAGTAACGTAAGTAAACTGCTGTTTTATCAACAAGTAATTTTTTTGCTGTAGGCCTGCAGACTGTAAAATGCTTCAGCACAGCAGGGATATGTGTTTCAGTTCCTGCCTCTTGATAACTCAACAASTAGTTTATCGTTGCATGGAAAAGACGAGATGGAGAGGGAATCTGATCAATAAGTACAAATAGCTGAGGGGAGAAGGTAAAGRGGATGGGGTCRAACTCTTCTCAGTGGTGGCCAGTGACAAAACAAGAGGTAATGAGTACAAATTAAAACCCAGGCAGTTCCAGCTCCATGTGAGGAAGAACTTCTGCACTGTGAGGGTGCCTGAGCCCTGGCACAGGCTGCCCATGGGGRCTGGGGAGGCTCCTGCTCTGGAGATCTCCCAAACCTGCCTGGATGCAACTGGGTGCCCCATGCCCTAGGTGCCCCTGCTGGAGCTGGGCTTGGACTAGGTAATCCCTAGAGGAGCCCTTCTCTGGTTTTGCGAATGCTTTAGCTTGACAAAGACAAGTGCCACCAAGGAGAACAAACTGAAGTCTTTGTAACGCTGCATTTTCCATTGCAACCTTTGCTTTGCATCATCCAGTCTGCTATGAGGCTGAATGTGCAATACAACAATAGGAAATAAAGCAACAATAGGAAAATATCAAGGACAGTGGAACAAGTCTGAGATGTTGAGAGCAAGCCCTAAAGCTACCTCATGTTATGAGAGCCCAAGTACTGCAGCTATTCAGTGCTAAATGGAGCAGATGGCAGGTTTCAACAGCTCCTCCAGTAAGTGTTTAATACTGTGCAATTAGCTCGGTAACACTTTAACGAGAGTCTTATTAACCACATTTGCTCATGTTTGGGGGAGCAAGTCCTGTACCAGTAGATGCTTTCTTGGGCCTCAGCGCCCACACTGTCACCCTTCTGGAGGCTGTGCCAGCCCGCGGGCTTGCAGCCCTGCAGCTGCAGCACCATTCGGCTTTGGAGAGGCCCAGGGCAGCTCGTGCTGGCGGGCTTTCAAAGCAGCACCTTCAGGTGGGGCCACAGCCCATCCTCGGGGTGACTGCGCCCGCCGCCTGCCCCACAGCGGGAAGCTTGGGGGCTTTGGGGGTGCCCAGAGACAGGGGGCTGCTCCCTAGGGCCCCAAAGTGGGAAGCTCGGGCGCTCTGGGGGTGCCAGGGCCAGGGGGCTGCTCCCTAGGGCCCCAAAGCGGGAAGCTCGGGGGGCTCTGGGGGTGCCAGGGACAGGGACCTGCTCCCTAGGGCTCCTGCCCCGTCCCCGGCGCTGGGGGGCCCCGCCAGCCCGTGCCCGCCGCGCCGCGACTCACTCGGTGAGCAGCCAGACGCTCTGCACGTCGCCGTCCTGCGTGGGCAGCACCACGACGCGGATGTCGCTCACGGCCTGCTCGATGGTGCCGGGCTGCAGCGGGAGAGCGAGAGCGTTAGCGCGGCGCGCGGGGCCGTGGCGCGGGCCGGGGCGGCGCGGGCCCTACCCGGAACACGAAGTACTCCTTGAGGCGGCCGCCGCGCGTGGCCGTGCGCACGCGGAGCGGCCGCAGCGTCT